GAATGCATATGAAGACTAATATGGGATCCCAGTCGTTCGTAGAAACGTCATAGATCGCCATAGCCGAAATACATCCACTAATTGTTCGTTGTAGATTTTTTAAACCACCACTGGACTCATTATCGAGAAATGGATGATCAAAGAGCAATTCATTTGGTTGTTGACCAAGATTCGGACATTGTCATATGTTCTTTTAAGGCCTGCCACACTAAAGCGGAACTTTTGTGTGTTAGCGGAAACTTTGACTGTTGTTGATGTGTACTGCAGTAAAAGATCCCCAAAGGTAGGCCAGGAAAGGAAATCGCCGTTGAAAACATCTATATCACATGGTAGTAAATTCAGACTATGCATTACATTGTCATTTGAAGCGAAAACATCAACTGTTCCGTATGGCGCGAAACGCCATACAGAGATAAAAGTTCTGCCTGAGGGGGAGAATCAACTCGAGGAGTGCTAGTCACATTAACACCATGAACATCTATTTGTGAAACATGTGAATTCAAACGTTGAGACTGCTGGGTACTATTCAAACTTTGGACCAACGAAGGATTAGAATTTTTTTGTAAGGCACGTAATTGGTCCAATTTTCGATTTATTGAAGCAATGGCGTTTACATATGCCTTATACGCAGATGTGATGTCTTCTCTTTCCGCATCTTCAGAAGTTTGCAGATATGTCGAATATTTCCTTCACTTTACTCCACAATTCCCTTGCCTTAGCGGCTTGCACATCAAGGGAATATATGTTCAACTCTTCCCCTCAAGGAGAAGTAAAGTTGGCTTCAAATTTTACCAGAGCATCAGTTGCTCTGGTAAAGAAATCAAGTGGAGTTAGTGGCATTGTGAAATAGAAAAATTTAGAAATTCAGCCAAATGTAAACCAACTTGAAATTGGTGAAACTCAACGAAAATTGAGTGAAATTATTTAAATTGAATGCTTAAAAATACAACACCCAACTAAGTAAAAGCAACTCTTTTTTTGAAAATTTAAAAAAAGTGATAAGAAACTGTATTTTCTCGATAATGAAAATTGAAAAGATTTGCACTGTGTATCGAATAATACACACATGTTTTTATGAGAATTAAAAAAAAAATATATTTAAAGACAATTGAAAATGCACTTGCAAATTTGATAAAATATGTTTCGTTAAGTGTAGAAAACTATACGATTTTGCTCTTAGTGTATCGAAAAATGCAGAGAATTTGATTATGTGTATATAAATGTACACAACAAAATTATTTCCGAAAAGAAATAAGTTCAAAATAATAAATATTTTTCCAAAAAGAACAATAAAATTTAAAGAAATATTAAAAAATTAAAATTTATTTATTAATAATATATAATAATAACGAAAATTATTATTAAATATCGAAATTACCGAATGTAGGGTGCACTCTATACGGACCCGAACAATTTCCAACAGAACCGCATGTTTCCAAAAAAATAATTAAATTTTTGTTCCGAACAGACACAATAAACCAACTTTTAACTTTTTGTCTGAACAGACCTATTATACTATGTAGTTGGTTACTGATTACCCAGTACGAATCAACCAACCACAGAGCACACAGCACTATTATGTGATTGTATTGTTGTTGTTGTACTATTCAACAGTAATGTTGTTAGTGTTCTTTATGCCAAAGATTACAAAATAAACAAACACAACACAATAAAATCACTGATCGCTGCTTATGTATTGCACGTATAGCACGACAAAGAGCAGGTATTAAGAGTATAATATTCTTGAAGCCAATTATTACACGAATTGAATACCGGTACTGTTGGAAATGTATGACACTTTCGATTTACCGACGGACACTTGTAAAAACGACCGTAGTACTTTGTTCGTTGTTTTTGTAATATTATTTTTATTTCAAAAACGAAACACTCGCGGTTTATGCTCACTCAATAGGCGGTAGGTACCTTTTTAGTGATGTAGTGATTGATTAAATAAAAATAAGTAAAGGGATGGATAAGTAGATGGTAGGCACTGGTTGATGCTGGTTGTTTTGACGAAGTCAAATCTTTTAAAAAAAGGAAAGAAGAAGCAGGTTAGTTTTTTGTTGCTGGAAGCAATTATCTTGGCTAGAAGAGATCAAACATGTTGCGGAGCAGTGTGAATTACATAAAAAGGGAAGAAATAAAACACATGAAATTAATATTTTTGACATTAACAAATTGGCGGTTTTTTTAATGATTTTGTATTAGCCGAAAAACTAATATAATTTTAACTTTTTGTACAATGGGTGTTGTAGCGTTGTTGTTAGGACGAAGATCCGTGAAACGAATAAAGAATAAAAGTAGCGAGCTAGCCTAGATGTCACAAGAGAGTCGCGAATTGATCTTCATTCTATTTTTAAAGAAATTAAATTAAATTCATGTTAAACAATAACCATGTTAGTTGGTTTTGTCTGTTACAACAAAAACCTTCTCGTCGATCGTGCCTTGTCTACTAATAAATTGCAAAATAGTCAGGCTTAATCCCATTATTGTTGTTTTTACTAAAACGTTTGTTTATTATTGGAGAAAGATGGTAATGATTACCAGGGGGTAAGGCAGGGAATACCTAGGTTTTGGAAAAAGCCACCAATTCTCATCAGTACACTTGTTTTTTGTATAGGATATTCTCCCCAGGAGTAAAAATTAACTCCTATGACAAAAATCTTTTTTACCCAAGTGTCGAGATCGTAAAAATACAATAGAAGAGGAACCAAAATATTGAATTAAACTAAAATTCTTTTGGAAAATCTTCTAAAACTTACAACCGCATTTATAAACATTTTCATCGCTCTCCACTTATTATGCTTTCGTTTTACATGAACATAACCTTATAAGCATAGCCATATAAGATGGTTTGAGCATAACCATATAAATTAGTTTTATCTGGGATAGTGAGATTCCAGACAAAATTGACAATTCCTTGTATATACTGCTTAGAATTTTGTATTTCTTATGTGGGTACGATTTGATCCATTGTTGTGAGGCTTTTGTGCAGTATTAGTTTGGAAAGAACTTACATTTCTGTCTTTAGTTTTTTTTTTATTTTTTTTTTGTAATATCATGATGATAGATGTTTGAAAATTATTTTACACTTTCTTGCCATTTACTACTTTTTTGCAAAAATACATATGTATGTTTGAAACAGTGTTTTGTTCCACTTTAAACTGATCTCAAATTGTACAATTATCTTTTATGTTCACACATGTTTTGAAGATAATATCTTTATTTATTATTATCTTTAGTTTACTACAAAATAAGTTTAGTTTCTTTAAACATGTTTTGCTTCAGTTTGAATGCATTCACATGTAACACCTCTGTTCTAGTTATGATTTATTAATTTTTTTAAAAGCCGAAATCAGAAAAGAGAGGTAGAAGGGAATCAGTTTACATTCTACTTTAGGGAGAAGTATAAAAAATGTTATCAAAATAAAATGAAATATGAGTTTAGTTACTATATGAAAAAGGCGCATGAAACAATAAGCAAGATGCCATTTTTTCAATAGGGGAGAATTGTGCCGATTATATGAAATTTCAAAGTCTAATTGTCAGACAATATTTAGAAACCCAGTCCTTTTATCTATTTTCAATGTACATAAATCCATGAAATTATTTATAAAAAAATTACACTGGGGACCCACAATGGACTGCATATCCTAACAGCTAATGAATAATTAATTCTATCTAATTCAATAGTCAAAACAATGGAACATGTACTCATATCTCAACACATAATACCATCCGTCGTGTACCTCACATTCCCTGCAAAAGCTCATTAAAAAAAACCTTTTTGATCTGAGGTTTGCAGTTAGATAGAATCCTCAATATGCGACATTTTTCGCCGTTGGTTAAATGTGGTATGATGTGGCAAAGCTAAAAAAAAAACAAGTAAAAAAGCTTTAAGTTCGGCCAGACCGAACTTTTAATACCCTCCACCATTTGGTTTAAATTTCAAAAAAAAATCCGTTAAAATCTTAAAAACACCGAATGTGGCCGTATATTAGGGTCCATATGACGACGTGGACCTGCAAAAGCAACTTTGTCACAAGCTATTACAAATATTCAAACTTGGAAAAACTAAAATCATCAAAATATAGGGAGGTACCATGGGAGTTATAAAACGTGGAACTGCACAGACAATTTTCTGGCATAGGCTGTAGTATCCATTATGACTTCAAATACAAAATTTGAATAATTCCTGTAAATAATATCGCTAAAGTCATCAAAATACCGAATACCGGGGGGTACCATTATGTGGAGGCTATACGAAGACGTGAACCTACATGGCCCATTTTCTGTCTTAAGCCGAAGTATCTAATACGAACTTCAAATACCAAATTTGTAACAATTCCTGTAAATAATGTCGCAAAAATCATCAAAATACCGAATATCGGGAGATACCGTTATATGGGGGATATGCGAAGACGTGGGCCCATTTTCTGCATTACGCCGTAGTATCTATTACTAACTTCAAATACCAAATTTGAAACAATTCCGGTAAATAATGTCGCTAAAATCATCAAAATACCGAATATCGGGAGGTACCGTTATATGAGGGCTATACGAAGACGTGGACCTACATGGCCCATTTTCAATAACAAAAGTCCTGCAGACATGATACACATTTGAGTAAAATTTTATCAACATAATTTCCTTCGAAAGCTAGAGTGATTTTATGCTGATCAAGAATATATACTGTTTGTGGGGTCTTCAATGTATATTTCGAGGTGTTACAAACGGAATGACAAACTTAATATACCCTCCAATTGTGGAGGGTATAAAAACTTTTGTTTGGCAGATTTGCCCTACGCAATATTTGCAATAAACTTTAGTGGTAGGAAACTATGGTTTTTTTTGCATGTTTAAGTCAACACAGGAATTTTACACAAGCACGACAGATAAAACAAATAATGCATACAAAACACCACAGTAATACATTACCATCATTGTATAATCCTTGTGAATAAATTATTGTCGTTATTTATATATATTTATAATTTTAGATTCACATACTGATGCATCCTATTCTGGAATAGAAAATGAAACACCTTCTGTGGCTCCGAAATTTTTATCTCGCGGGCATCTGTACAAAGTTATTGTTGGCGAGACGATTGAGCTACCATGCAAAGTTCAAAATCTGGGGTCATTTGTGCTTCTATGGAGAAAGGGATCGTCAGTCCTTACTGCAGGACACTTGAAGATTAGCAGAGATCCAAGATTCAAAATTGTTGGAGATTACAATTTGCAAATTAATGGAGTGAAAACACAAGATGCCGGAGACTATATCTGTCAACTTGGTGATCAGGAAAATCGAGATCAAGTACATACTGTGGAAATATTAGGTGAGAAACGTCACCATATTCTCACATTAATTGCATGTGTTGACGCTTACTTAATTTAAAGTACACCAGCGGGCATACTCTTAAACAATATTAAGCCTGTTGTACGCTTTAGACCATTTTTTTTATTTTGAAAAAGAAGCTAAATTTAAAAGTTTTGAGTCTGCAAAAATTTTGCCCAATTAAATAAATCATTACAATTATGAGGATTTTTTTTCGTTCGTTCCTACGTCTCTAACACCCACCCCTGTCGACCTATGGTTTCACACCGGCTACAGAAACTACATCAGCTAGTGATTAAAATACAAGAGAAGTTACAGAAGATATATACATAGATTAGTAACCATAAATTGACAAAGATACCAAATTTTAACAGTCGCTTCCATTGGTTGCGTCTACTGTTCCGTATAGAGAATTGTAGACCAAATGCCTGATGATCAAGCAGCTTAGCAAAGTATAACAGACTTTAATTCTAATATTTACAACTACTACTCTAAGGTGTAGGTAAGATGGCGTAAAATAAGTTTGGAGTTTTCGAACCATTTCTTCTGATGTTGCTGTTTCCTTCCGTCCACTTCTTTGACGTCGTCTACGCTACCAGTATCACGGTAACGAGCGATGGTACGAGACACAAATGCTTTGCTTTATTTTCTAGTAGACAAGTCAATGCAGCGTTTCTAAGTGATCGCTGAGGATCTCATGTCTGTCAACAATACATATACGAATACACACAAGTGAACGCAGAGGTTCTAGGTGATCGCAGAGGATCGTTTGTTTCTTTTTATAACAACTACAACTACTCCCAATGAGAGCAAACCGACAACAACCAATGTCCAGCGGCGATCCGCTCACTACGGTATCCGCCAAGGGTATTGCAGAGGAGATGCCGGTGTGTGGTTGAACGTGTCGAACTTATACATTCCGGCCCATTGCTGAGACCACAAGTCTAGCAATCTAAATCAAAAGTATCATAGGTTAGGAGAGAACGTAAATTCACATTCCCAAGTGAGCGATAATTGCGTTGTAGATTTTCAAATTATTATCATAGCGATTTGTTATTTTACTTAAGTGAATTATCAATAGATTCGGTTTACTAATTTCAGTATATAGCGCAAGTGATAGTTTAAAAAAATAATTCGATTTTATACGTTCTTATTGGTCGATTTCAATGTTTGGAGCGAGATTATGTTACAGTCAAAAGAGATACTGAACCGGTAAGAATGTACCCGAAAATATTCTTTTGGACCAGCAAAGAATCCAAAACAGTTTTTAGAGGCTCCACTTCTAGAATTTTAGGAGCTATTATCGAAAGAATCCACTAAATCAAGGTCAGGAATTCGCGTCCTCAAATTTGTCACGGGTGGAAGAGAAAACTATTTTCCGCTGACATTAGGCTTGACTAAAGCTCTAGTTTCGACATTTCTAGGCGATTTTCTCAGAGAAAACAACTGAAGAGAAAAAAATTCTCTTGGAGCATCAGGCTTAGATTTTTGAATGCTAGTGTGAGTAAGAATTTCAAGAGCATTTCTAAGCTTTTTACTAATAATCGATGCCTTAGAAGAAGGGTCTATTATAGCACGAGCAGTATAACTTTTCCCATTATGAACAATTTTGACTAGTACAGTTCCTAAGAGCACATTTTCCTTAATGGTGTTGGGAGACTGGCTGTTTGAATTATTTTTAGCAGAGGGTGGGTGTAAAAGCCGTAGTGGTACATTCCAAGATTTTATACTGAGTGTTTGGGAAGACATGGTGAAGATTTACTATTTTTTATATAAGTAGATACCAGAGATGGGTTTCAGAATGATGCTGGAACGACTCTACTAGATTGTAACCGATGAAGAAGGCTGTGATGCATTTGTTTTCAAGAATTGCAACAATTTGTACTACGACAGTTTTTTACTGCAAGACCATTTATACAACTCTTATTCTTCTTAACAATCGAGAATTTGTCCTCAAACGAAAGTTTAATAAACTTGGGGTGGAGACGAAGCACTGTTTTTTGCAGCAACTTAGTAGAACGAGGCAAAGGAGGAACACATTTTGGCTCATGTATCAATGACGCTTTAATGATGGAACTAGATGAAAAAACATATTTGGTTGTCAACGATCTATTGGAGGAACGATGGTGACAACAATTTAGGCAAGAAACTAGGAGAGGAAATGTTTGTGGGAAGATTTCTGTGCAAATATGCACAACAATTGGATTCCACTGATTTGTGGTGACGTCATAGACGACCATTGCAGCAAGACTACAATTTATTCCATTTTGAACAAATTAAAAATCTTGACTAGTTTCTAACTGTAAAAAAACTTTTTGATATGGCTATTTACGTCAAAGCTTTCCATGCCAATGGGAAACTGCTATTGGTGAGTAGAAATCTCGAGACTATGGTTCTTGCTTCACCAGTATTCTTCTGTAAAAGATAGCGAAGACGCTCAATGTCTGAAAGACGAACATTATTTGTGAATAGGGTAGTAAACAAATCACGAAAGGTGGGTCAAGACACAAAATCACCATCAAAGATTTCGGTATTAATAGGTGTAAACATGAAGCACTGATTATCATTAGCAGGAGGAGGAGCTATAGCAGAACAATTTGCATCGACAGGTGATTACAGATGAGCCAAATGCCGCTTAATTGTGGTCAAAGACCAATGGTATGCGATAAATTAATTATTACATTTATCCTCAACACACTCCAAATTATCAATCGAATATCGAGATTACATACAGTAAATTGGGATTATTTTATCTGTTCGAAAAAATCAACAGATTTGAGAAGAGTGTTAGAAGCTCTAACAAAGTGATTAACTGGCGATATCGACATTACGTAACTAGTTTATATAAACTACTCTTTATGTAAATTAAAAAAAAGCTAGCTATTGCCATACCTTTGAAAAAAATGCAAAGTGAATAGATTTGCTGATTAAACTTCTACTATGAACGAGAAAAGTTAAGAAAAACTTCCTCTGTTTGACAAGGACTACTAAGAATAGTAGAGTATAGTGATATGAGATGCTCCAATATAGGATTACAAACACAACAATTTTTTAAACAAGAAGAATTTCAGCGCGAGCTAGCTATGTATCAATATGTAATTGCAATCAACAAGAAGTATATAAAATTCAATGCTATGTCAAACTATTTAATATTAGTGCTTCAAATTTGTTGCAGTGTTTGACAAAAGTAGGATGTACTCTTCCAAAAATGTCAAAACCTCACGGAGAGTAATCAATTTTACAAACAACAATTAAATAATTGACCAAAATTTGAGAAAATAGCCCTAAAAGCAAACATTTTCAACTAATATATGCTTCTCAAATGTTTGCAGAATGTAGGGTGAATTTGTCCAAATATTTCACAAAATTAACAAAAAATAAGTTCTAATTAAGTTGCAAAAAATTCACAATTTGTACTGTTTCACCCCACTGTGCCGAATCAACAACGGATATCGCACGAAGAGGAATAAAACACAAGCGACGTCGGCAGAGAAATGACTATGCGTAAGCAGCTACGCACCCACACAACAAGTGACAGCACAAACGATCCAACATTGAGTGTTGAGATCAAAACACTTTGTTGTTATTATTACTGAATATCAAACCGACGCTAAAAAGGGAGCGTGGAATGATGGCGTGTTGTTGATGCAATTTTTGCCAATGTAAATTCTCAAGTGAGAATTGATTTACGTTAAGAAACCTGAGGAGAATTGCAACAGATCAAGTATTGTTGCAGAGGACAACAAATAACCAACCGACAGAGGTGTAGACTGTTATTATATGTGCGTTGTTTTGTTAATTAGAAACAAACAAATCTCGTAAAGGGCTCAACCTGTGAAACGTGAAGTGGGATACAAACAGTGAACGTTTGGTTGGTAAGAAATTGAACTATAAATAAACCAAACGACCAAATATAAAAGAATGTGCATGTATGCTGTCATCACAATTAAAATTCGACCAAAGCGAAACAATTTAAATATGCATTAAGATATCGCGAGTAGCTTACTTCAGTAGAAATCTGAATTTACGTACCTGTTTCTTAGTCAAATATATTGGTGACGATGGAAGATAATACAATGATTTTTTTATGCAAACGAGTTGGCTCGAATCCCGCTCGATGCGATCAATGTTTAACTCGGGGAAGTGGGAAGAATTGTTTCGACAGCGGCAAGAACAATGCGAACTCCCCAGAGTAATTATAATATTTAAGTGATGTAATGGTGAGAGATTTGGTGAGGGTGATTCGTGCGAGTTATCTGCTGTGGTTTTGAACACACTGTTTATCCCTTGTGGAATTAAAACACTTGTTCTGTGTTTGGTTGTGGTCTTAAGAATGAATTTTTATTTGTTGCTTTTAAAATTTTGTGATTCGATGTAGCGACAGGGTTTTGCTGACGCTGCATCGAATGGTTGTCTGGGAATGTGGGTACGAAAACAAAAGTTTCAAATATCATTTGGAACTTTTGTGTTATGCTTTAATTGACAAAAAATAAGTGGCAATGGCCGGGACGTAACTCCTCCACCCATTACCAGAAATACTCCTGGATTTTTTTTATACATACGAATCTTCATACTTAACTTAATAAACATACATGCAAATTACATATTCTTGGGTTTACATTTGGTAATTCAAGTTTTTGATTATTCTGATAAAAATATTTGTCATTATATGCTACTATTTTGTTCAAGAAAGTTTCATTATGGAAGGTTAAACTACAGTTATTAAGAATAACAAAATCATTACCAGTTAAAGTTTGTTCCCTATCGTCACAGTTTTGTTTTAGTTTTTCAGAGAAATCATTCTTTATAATTATTATGTCATTATCAACACTAGAAATTGAGGTCATGTTGTTAAATTTATATCTACAACTGTTATAAAAAATACAATGCTTGCTCTTCCTTAGTTTTTTTATAGTTACATTTTCTTCATATTTGTATGGAATGCCGTTTATATTAATTATTGTCCCTTCATCAGAGTCTATCTCTATTTTATTATTGTTT